TTTTCTTGCCTTTTTTTCCTAATATATTGGTAGTGATTAGTAGAACAGCAACCCCATCTTCATCAGCAGATTAATTTCATAAAACAACAGTGATTTTATAATTTGTATTTCCATATACTCCTATTCCCCATCCCCCTGTACTGCTGGAGGGGAGGAGGCAGAGAATTTGGGAGTGAAGTTGAGCCTAAGAAGAAGCAAGGTGTGGGGGGAAGTTAAGATTTAGTTTTTCTCATTATCTGACTCTGATTTCATTGGTAATAAATTCAATTAATTTCCTCAAGTCAAATCTGTTTTGCCCATAACAGTAACTAGTGAGTGATCTCCCCCTCCCCTTCTCTTGACCCAGGAATCTTTCATTATGTTTTTTCTCCCCTGCCCAGGTGAGGTAGTAAGTGCTAGAGAGGCTTTGGTGGGCACCGGGATTCCAGTCAGGATCAACTCATCACAAACATACAATAAACTATTTCTGCTTTGCTCAAAATTCTTTAGCTTGCAGAAGGCACCAGAGAGACCTTATTGAGGCCTTTCAATACTTAAAGGGGGCTTATAAGGTGGATGAAGAGAGTCTTTTTGCAAGGGCCTGTAGTGAAAGGACAAGACATAACAGTTTTAAACTAAAAGAAGGTAGATTTAGATTAGATATAAGGAAGAAATGTTTTACTGTGAGGGTGGTGAGGCAGTGGAATAGGTTGTCCAGAGAAATTGTGGATGCCCCATCCCTGGAAGTTTGCAAGGCCAGGCTGGATGGAGCTTTGAGCAACCTGGTCTAGTGGAAGGTGTCCTTGGCCACAGCAAAGAGGTTGGACTAGGTGATCTTAGGAGTCCCTTCCAACACGAACCTATCTATGATTCTATTAAATAGCCAAAATATTCTTACAGAATTAAAATCAAACATCAATTCATCTTTATTTAGGCATAAAACCATAGTACTAGTGTAGGCAATGTCCATCCAGGTAGGGTAACATAGAAAACCATTTTCTTCTAATTTAAAGGTTGGTCTTCAGAGGATGAACTATTCTTTCAGCTGTCTGTACAGCATCAAACACGCAAGTGCTATCATACCACAAGCTAGGGATACAACCCACAAGCAAAAAGACGTATTTAACCTAATCACTGACAGGTATATCTTTAAGGAAGCTTAGGACTATGTCTTTTTCTCAGTTTGTGTTAAATTTTATATAATTTTTAGCTTAAACAGGCATTAGACAAACTGTACACTATATAATCAGCCTCTTGGTTACCAGAGTTGAGGTTCCATGGTTTTGCCTAAAAGCCTCCTGTAGGCTCAGATTCTCGGTAGTCAGACCAAATCCTCCAGTTTCTACCATTATACTCCTACATATTTGTAAAGAAGCCCAATTTTAACTTGAGGCTGTTGTTAAGAGGAAGCAGTGATTTGCCTCTAGCTGAAGAAACATTTAATTAAATCTTTTATAAATTATACAAGGAAGCCAACAATTCCAACCCTGTAATTATTGTTATTTGTTCAGCTCACAGCTCTTTTATAAAGAAGTAGGCTTCAGTTCTAGCTGTCTACTGCAGAGATGTACACTGTAGGAGTCAAAGTGAACCAAGAAAGAAAAGGACTACTTGGACTAAAGAATTCAGAATAATTCTGCTACCAGAAAATACTGCTCCACAGAGAAGTTGCTTGGACTATAAAAATTAGATATTTAAAAGCTGCATTTTATATATAAACCAAGGTTTTCTTTGTGTTTATTATTTAATGTAGGTTGTTTTAGTTTAAAACTTACAAACAAAGACTAGTCCTGCTTCTAAAGTCAGAACAATTCCATCACTGTCCATTTAGAAGTGAGAAAGAAGTGAGAAGGAAGTTACTAGTTGGGAGGTAGTAAGTCACCAGCTGAGTAGTCTTATTCCAAGACTATGAAAAAGCTGTAAGTTAAGAAGAGCCAAGAACCTAGTGAGAAAGTATGACTCCAGCAATGTGAGCATTGTTACTCTAAATCCCATGGTGATGTTCATTCCACTGTTAAGAGAGTAAAATTGCAGTTTAGTTGCAATTAGTGATCAAATTAGACTGTCAGAAACACGACTTGAATGAATTCAGACAAGACTGTGAGACTCAGAGGGAGAGAGCACAACCCTTATGAACCTGCGCATTGAAACAATATGGCCTATGAACTAAAAAAATATTCTTTCCTTGGGCTTCAACTATTAACAGCACAGATCAGTTAGACCTTAAATGCTCAAATATCTTGCCCTGAAAGTGGATTTCAGTTGCTGGGAGACACATTAATGCAAATTAAAAGACAACAATGTTGAGAAACAGTTTTAATAAAATGAAGAAAGGATGACAGCTTCCATTAAAACGGCATCACAAAACCTTTAAGTTATCAAAGCCTAATTGATCAAGTTAGCTTAGTTCTGCCTTACATCTGTTCTCTAAGTAACAGAAACATTCAAGGCAGTACATAAATCTATGACAGTGATGTATTACAGGGGTATGCTGTAAGGCAGGTAAAAGGAAAGCCATTTCACCAGTACAAGCACATCCATGTAAAACACTGCACACCGAAGCTGCAAAAAAATAAACTATATTAACAGTTATTAATATAGTTTATTTATAGCAGTTGTTGTTCAGTACACAGCATTAATAATGTCATCAGCGCAAGGATTCAGATTTCAGACTTTTCTCTTTAAACCTCAAGTGAAGTTTCTTGTTCAAAAACCACACTTGTCTCCACAGCTTTTGGCACTTAAATTACCTGATTTTTGTGCTTCACACTTCTGAAAACTCAGGACGCTTATTTGCATTCATAATATACAATATAGATTGTTCATTCCCTCGCTTCCATACAGAGGTTCTCATTTGTGGCATACAAGGAACACCAAGAACTGAGATTACAAGACTACTGTTAATCCTGCTTGATATTAGATGAGCCATTTCTTCCTCCAGAAGCATTATTACTTTGGCAATAAGTGGATTGCAAAAGTGGATTTATTATCAGCCCCTTAAATACTCTGCAGATGTTTTAAATTTGTTGCTACCCAGGTTAACATTCCCTAAATTAACGGTTTTCAAATTCTTTAAAAATACGGTTTAGCAATTAGTATACAGCACATAATCACTTATTTTCATAAAAATATATATTAGACAAGAGAGTGCTTTATTAAATAGACTCTGACTCAAAAGGAAAACACTCATAGTCAAAGGACTGAGATGTTCATTATGTAAATTAAACTATTGAGGTGTTTCAACGGGAGAACATGTAAGATTTGCAGCACACCTGAGGGATGCCATGCCATCCAGAGGGACCTGGACAAGCTGAAGTGGGCCCATGGGAATCTCATAAGGTTTAATAGAGTGCTGCACCTGGGTCAGGGCAACCTCTGGTATAACACAGGCTGGGGGATGAACAGATTGAGAGCAGCTCTGCCAAGAACTTGGGGGTGCTGGTGGATGAGAGGCTGGACATGACCCGGCAACATGCACTTGCTGCCCAGAAAGCCAGTTGTGTCCTGGACTGCATCAGAAACAGCATGGCCAGCAGGGCAGGAGAGAGGATTCTGCCCCTCTGCTCTGGTGAGACCCCACCTGGAGTGCTGTGTCCAACTCCAGGGTCCTCAACACGGGAAGGAAACCGACCTGTTGGAGCGAGTCCAGAGGAGGGCCACCCAGGTGATTAGAGGCACAGAGCACCTCTCCTATGAGGAAAGGGTAAGAGAATTAGGATTGTTCAGCATGGAAAAGAGAAGGCTTCAAGATGACCTCATGTCATGGTTTAAGCCCAGCTGAAGATGAAGCATCATGCAGTTGCTTGTTCAATCCCTCTTCTCTCTCCCTCTCCTGGTGGAATGGACAGGAGAATCAAAGTAAAACTTATGTTGAGTAAAAAATATGTTGAGATAAGAACAGTTTAATAATTGAAAAGAAAGTAAAATATAATAATGGTAAATAATAATAATAATATTAAAAAGGAAACAAACAAGTGATGCACAATGCAGTTGTTTCACCACCTGCTGACCGATGCCAGACCCTCTTTCTGAACCCAGCTCAGTCCCTCTTCCAGGTAACTCCCCCCCAGTTTATATACAGGCATGATGTTCTATGGTGTGGAATATCCCTTTGGTCAGTTCAGGCACCTGTCCCAGCTATGCTCCCTCCCACTGGTAGGGCACGTGACAAGGGAAAAAAATGTCCTTGATTTAGAATAAACACAACTTAGCAAAAATCAGAACATCAGTGTGTTGTCAACACCATTCTCATTCTGAATCCAAAACACAGCACTGTACTAGCTAGTGAGGAGAAATTAACTCTACCCTAGCTAAAGCCAGGACACCTTAGAGCAGCCTTCCAGTATCCAAAGGGAGCATACAAAAAAGATGGAGAAGGACTTTTTACTCGAGCATGTAATGACAGGACAGCAGGGAATGGCTTCAAACTGAAAGACAGTAGATTTGGATTAGATACTAGGAAGAAATTCTGTACTATGAGGGTGGTGAGGCACTGGAACAGGTTTCCTAGAGAAGGTGTGGATGCCCCATCCCTGGAAGTGTTCAAGGCCAGGCTGGATGGAGCTCTGAGCAACCCAGTCTAGTGAAAGGTGTCCCTGCCCACAGTCAGGGAGTTAGAATGAAATGATATTTAAGGTCTCTTCCAACCTAGGCCATTCTGTGATTCTAAGTCTAGCTTCTTAAGTCAGGGGAGTAATCCTATAAATGTGTACAAATACTCCAAGGGGGGATGTAAAGTCCCAGTGATAGGGCAAGAGGCAGTAGGCACACACTGAAACGCAGAAGACATTTTTACTGTGAGGGTGACCAAGCCCTGGCACAGGATGTTCAGGGAGGCTGTTGAGTCCATTCTTGGAGCTATTCAAAAGCTCTCTGGACATGGTCCTAGGCAACCAGCTCTGAGTGAATCTGCTTGAGCAGAGGATTTGTACTAAATGACCTCCAGAGTTCCCCTCCAACCTCAACTATTATGTGACTATGTGATATGCTGAGATTTGCTTAAAAGAGGAAAGACACTCCACTGTATTCCCTTTCTTTTTATTATTCTTATTTCTTCCAAAAATAGCATAACAATGTACTTTCAAATGGAATTTGATACAAGAAATCTAACAAAACTAGTTTTGACGCCACAGTTTTCAAGGAAACATTTCAGCACTTCTAAAGTCAGCATTTTTCAGCTAGTTTCATGAGTACTAATTCTAGCAGACAAGGAAGTCTTGTTTTCTTAATTTCAGCAGCAGAACCAATTCTACTGCTTCACTGAAGTGAAGGTTATACATGTTCTTCTATATAATTAAAAAAATGAGTCATGGAGGAAAGAACATAACCAAATTACAGGGAGAAGGCAATACAACTACAAACTCAATTTGAATACTTAACTCTAATGGAATTGTTCTTTTCTAGGTTTATTATAACTTTTCAAAATACTCATGTACCATCAGAATTTCATCATTTCATCTCTACATAAACTATAGTAGCTAACAGCAGCCATCAGCTACTGTTAGACCAAAAACAGAGAGAAAAAACATGAAGTATTCAGGCCTTCTCAGTAACTGGTGGCTACAAGCACTGGAAAGCCGAGCAAACACTGCCCCAGAAATCCCTAATCCAGCTTTGAGACTAACAAGCATAACTGGGGATTGTTACCCACATGTACCAGGGTGTGTACACACATACACAGCCCTCCCTTCCAGAGTGAACTGCTGTTATCCTCAAATGTTCCACAGGCTCCCCTTCTGGTTCATGATCCACGACATGATCACGTTTCTAATGCCTTAAGGAGGCATCACTACCAACATCCTATTGCCAAGCCCACTTGGAATTTTATGAAACAAGAAAGAAATGTATCCTAAGATCTGCCTAGTAAGTTTCAAGAAACATTAAAACTACCAAAAAGTCAGGAGAGTCTTTAATACAATAGAAAATGTTGTAATTTAAAGTAATTTAAGTTCAGCAGCTGTTACCAATTACCACACAGTCATATTTGGAAAAACGAAGCAGAGACTTAAAACATTAGAAATTGAGTAATTTCAGAGCAGTTTTGTACAGAACAAACTCGTTTAATCATGAAAGCACCATGAAGTGACACTAAGTATCAGCAAGCAGGAAAAACAAGAACATCATGTGATTTTACCATGTAAACTACACCGTGAATACCACTAAGGTAGATTTACACTGCAGGCTCGAGCACAGCACGGAGGTACTCAAACTGACTAAGGTATTTTTTGCTCTGCATGCAATGTAGACATACCCTCTATGTCTGAATAAATCTCATTATGAATTAACTGAGCTCTGCAGTACAGTATTTAGGCCCTCATTCTGCACCATCAAAGTCAACACTCTTCTTTCCATCAACTTCAGAAAGTGCAGGGTCAGGCTTGTAATCACAAACATACGTCTACTAACAAAACATTTGTGTCTAACATAAAGTTGTGTCAGTTCAAACACAAGTTTTGAGAGCATGCAGATTGCTTACAAATGCTTAAAAAGACTAGTTCAGAATCTTTCTTATATATACACACACAAGTCCATCTGTCACAGACAGGCAATGTAACTCTGAATCACGAGCTGCTCTAGTTTTTGGTAGTGTCCTGCACACTTCTGATAATTAAAAAATAAAAAATAAAAAAATAGTTGCCACAATGGATTTCTGACCATTCCAACTTGCACATGGATATGATCTCTTCTTGCTGCATCCAGTATGTGAAGTTTCACAGCTGCTTCTCAAATGCAAATACCAAGTAAATACCTAAAAAAGAAAATGCGAGTATTTAAAGTTTCTGCTTCCTTGGCAACTCAATTAAGTTCTCACCATGTTATCAGGTTGATATTCTGCCCAAACGACCTGTTAGCAGATTACTAAAATGATAAAAAATGTTATGGTTTCCCAATGAGTAACTCTAGCATTCAAGTCTAGCATACTTGTTTTCACAATAAAGCACAGAATGCACAAAAGCAAAATATTTTATGTACTGCAGATAAGGGTAATGCAACACTAATTTAGTATTCAGTTAATGATATTACTGAAATGTGAATGGAATTCATAGAGTACTATGCCATTCTACACATAATTAACAATCACTTGCACATAAAAAGTCACATGCAAGTAAGTTAAGACTCTTTCATACACACAGTAATGGACAATTAGGAGTGAAATTATCAACTTCTTTTTTAATTGAAAAGTGAATAAACTCATGACACAAATTATTAATTTTGCTTTTAAAATTTTCATGGACAAAGAAGAAATTATAAGTCCAGAACAGTATGATTCCAGTAATGGATATTCATAAAGTCCACACCAGCACCCTTGGAAAACTCTTACTTGGCACATAATCAATGCCAGCAAGTTGGATGTTCTTGTGCTCCAGACCAGACAGACACGTTAAACCAGTTACTTGAGGCCATGAGTCTAATAAACATTTATGGATTTCCACTTTTATTTTAATGGATGAGGTGCCATAGCTACATTGCAAATCTTTCAAGACAAGCCCATCAGACATTCCTCAGCAACAAAGCAAAGTTCCACGCAATGAGCAAGCTATCAGAAGCTCTGTATTCCAAATCTCTCTGGAAAATGAGACTACTTAGGAAACACAGTAATCACTGAACTTCTAAAGGTATAAAAAGCTCCTCTCAATTAGATTAATAGTGTACATAATACTTCTACATTCCTGGAATTAATATCTTCTTTATGATTCACGCCTTTTAAAATTCAATAATAATTTAAAAAAAGCAGATTGAAGATTTTTTCATTTGTGAATTAAACAGTATTTTTTGTTTGCTTTCAAATCACTAAAACAATCAGAACAATGGTCTGCTAAAATGCAAATGCTGATTGGCTGCACTTATACAGAATTGAGTAAAAATCTCTTTAGGAATCAATTTTTATCCTTTGAATTGTCAGTCCCTTATAACTGAGTTTTTATTGAACTCAACATTGGAAAAATCCAATATCAAACGTTTTCCATGACATGTGCTCACATAATTTCAAAACATATTTAATGCCTTTGCAGTGTCTGAGGCACTGAATTTTTCTCTTCTCTTTATAAAACATTCAAATACCTCTTCACTATTCATGTTTTAATGGCTTCTTCCTGATATATGTATCACTACAGGAAAAGAGTAAAACTCTGGTCCCTGTCTTCTTGAAACAGGTTTGTATTATTTTTGGTGAATGTATGTCCCAACTAGAGTTTGTTTTCTAGTTGACTGATAATGGTATAATATCCAAGTGTACCATACAGAAGTGTAGTATTTAATCCTCTAACACTAGCAAAATAATTCTTTAACACTGGTATCATTTTTCATACATCCCAAGAAAAGGATAGTTCCAAAACTATTTTAGCCCAAAAGTTTGCGTGTTAGAAGGTATTTTAAAAAAAAAAGCAAAATTTTAACTATTTTATGCATTTTCCTCCCAATTTCTTGAGATGTGTGCACTACATAATGTATCCATAGGCATTTGAATTACACAAATAATAAAATCTTGTTACATTTAAAATTGGTATTTTCTTCCATAACCAACAGGCTATTTACACACTTTCCATAGCAGTTATTCAATCAATACTGAGTTTTCAAAAATATTACTTACTTGTTGCTTCCCATTCAGATTTACTCAAGGTTCCCTACAAGGTGACAAAAAAAGCGACAGTTTCAACAAAAATGAAGAAGCAATAAAACACAGATTTAACTCAGGATAATCAATCTTTTACATTGACTGGCTATTTAGGGACAAGAAGAGTATTACTGTAGACCACAGATACTTATAACTCCAATAACTATGATGGGGACGAATTGGAATACCCCAGACAATAGAACACACCTAAATCATCCAGGTATAGGAAAATGGGCCAACAGACTGTTGGTCTGGATGCCTCTGCAATGAAGAGCATGCTGCGTGCATCATCACACACTTGACCTGGCTGAAGGTGCTGTTTCCAGCCCAAGATACCCAACACTTGAGCAGAAGTGAAGAAAAGGCCCTGTATCGTGGTGCTGCCACCTTCCCCAGGAACACTGCCTGCCTCCACCTAATACTTCCCCACAGCCCACAGAAACTGTATTTGCAAGATACTAACTCCCAATCCAACTCAGACATTCTGGAAAAAACAGCCTGCCATCCAGCCTAGGAAATCTACTCCCAGCTCAGTCAACCACACAAAATCAGAGCAAGCCCACAAGAAAAAAGCTGCTGCCATTTAGCCCACCAATTAAGAAAGATCAGGTAACAACAACAAGCTGGTTTTTTGCTCTGCCCACTCCATCTCCTTCCCACGAGTTCTCACTGGGGACACAATTCAGTCCATATGCTACCCACTCACCAACCCTGACCAAAAAAAAAAGCATCTGGCAAAAAAAGTCTTTGGTCTGACTTGGCCACTCTCATGTTCTTAAGCCTATTTCTTAAAAGAAGCAGTTTGCTTTTTAAAGTTTTTAGATTTCAAATATTGAAAGCAGTTTTTTTTTCCTTCTTGATACATCAAGATGTATCAAGACTTTTATATGTTTTTATATATATAGTAAAAGGACAGAGCACAAACAGTGGATGAACCAATTATTAAAAAAAGAAACATCCAAGTGGAAAAACTTCAAGGTGACCAGCCCCATGCTGTATCTGTGACAGCGAAAAGGATGATTTCAAATATGTATGGTGTCATGAACAAAGTTTTCAACTTTCCTATGAGAGGATTGGAACTAAAACTTTAAATCAGTAGTGTGGATATGCAGAAACATAAGAAGATTCTTCAAATTAAGAGCAGTTAGAAAGAAGAAGATGGAGAAGTATCCTTTCCCTTTCACAATATTACAAATTTCTTAACAGCTACCAAATTAAGTGAATTTGATTCTTTGAGTATAGGATATAGATTAAATTAACTCCTCAGCCCTGGTGCTCTACAATTTTTCACATGCAGAGAGACATTCACACTAATTCTATTGCAGTTGAAATGAAGGCACCGCACATCCAAAAGGTCAGGACCTCAATTTTAGACACCACTTGCTCTACTAAAGTATGAAGAAACTTACCAATGGTAACTTTGCCTTGCCATCTTTCATGAACTCTTTTGCATGGTCATAATCATCAGGTTTATCAGAAACAAGTCTGGAATCACCAGATGTAGAATATGGCTGGAAAACATAAGAAACATAAGAAAAAACATTAATTGCATAGTAAGATACATTAATCACATCAGTCATGGGTTTGTCACAACACAGTCCAGAACAGAAGTCAGTAATTCTTAAAGAAGATTTTAAATTTAGGTCTCTTCCTTATAGCACCCTAAGGAACAGGTCTGATACTCCCTACTTTCCAGGAAATTAGTATACAACTGATTCTTCAAAACTAAGAAATACTTAGTAAGGATGCCAGTTACAAACAATCTGTATGTAACAATTCAGTCCTCAATTGTAAGTGGCCACTACTTTAAGATAACTCTCACTTTTCTAAGAACACAGATGGTATGTCAAAGGCCATGTCACCATGCTACTGACAGCGAGTCCACACACAGCACTGGCACTTTCAGAGTCAACAAGGACAGTCAAGTTCACTTGCAGCCCATGTGACTCAATTTAGTAAGTCACCAGATACTTGACTTGATAGTTTTATGCTGAAGAATTCTATTGTTTGGGGGAACAGGGAAGCAGAGAGAACTGTGAGTAAAACCAAAGCCTCAGAGGTGGCATGGAAAAACTTCTCTGAAGCTGCTAAAGTCATCCAGGATAAGAGCCTGAGGATAAAAAATGCAAAAAAAATTGGGCAAAACATAAGCTTGGTTAGAGTCAAGTACCATTTTCTTCTACGAACACAGCCTGTCTTTTTATTCCTACAAAGATTCCTTTCTGTCTTTTCACTCAATATTCCTTGCACAAAGATAGAGCTTTCAGTCTCTCTTTGCTGAGGAAGACATGGATTACAGTCACCGCTATCTGACACCTGGCATGACTCTTGTGCTTCTGTTTCCTACTTCATAAAAATGAAAACTTTGCCTCAAACTTGAAATATTGTCTTCCAAACTTGAATCACTCTATGGGGTGCTGGTGCCCAGTGATGGCAGCAGGGGCTGCAGAGGTGGCTTCTGTGAGGACACACACAGCTGGTTCCACCAGCTCCAACAGAGTCATCTCAGGGCACAGCTGAGTGAAACTGAGCCTGGGAACAAGCAGTAGGCGAGAGAATGGTATGTTTAGGTTTGTCTATGTTTCTCACTTTCCTACTAATTTTTTTTTGGCAATAAATTAATCTTCTCCAAGTTTACTCCGTTTTGTCTGTGACAGTAATTGCTAAGTAATCTCCTTGAATTTATCTTGACCCACAAGGGGTTTTTTTCCTGTTTTCTCCCCCCATCCTGTTGGGAAGAGGGAACAAGAGAGGAGGCTGGTGGGTGTCCAGCAGGCAGTCAAAGTCAACCCACCACAGACACACTTTCAGTTCCAGGAATTAAATTCTTTCTATTGGTAGTCCCTAATTAATTGCAAAATGTTCACAACGGGAATTTCCATTATTCCACAAATAATTAACAAGAAGTAAAATGCTATTAAAATGAAACAAGTCAACTCCAAATTTACCTCCAAGGCCTGCATTCTCCTTAACAGCATTTTATGCTCCTCGTTCTTGATTTTTTCTTCATAGAATTCCCGAAATGTCATTTTATAGACTAATTTCATACCATGCTTCTTCGCCATTCTGTCAAAATAATAAGTTTAGTTAGGGAAGCCTAAAAATTATTGTAGCTTTATTTTCAAAGGAACAATTTTAAGCCACAGTGACATCTTATGGTATTCAGTAGGATTACACTTCTTCTAGAATTTTTTTTTTTAGTTAAGACATTTAGATGAAAAAAGCAGCAGTACCACCACAAACTGTACTTTTTTTTTTTTTAATTAGGACAAAAAAAATCTAGGCAGAAATTATTTACAAACATTTTAATAGAAAAATTACTCTTCTCCCAAAATACAGAACTTCCAGACAGACTACACTCTTTTCACTGCAGTATCCATCATGTCAGATATTAGGGATATATTTCAAGAACTTATTTCTATTAGATTTAGTACCTTACATCTCAATTATATGTAGACACTGTGGACATGCAGCACTCCAGTTATAGCTGTCAGTGACAGATGCTGGTATTTTTCATAGAGAACTACAAATAAAGTGTGTGAGAATATACAGGCTTGATGGGAAAGTTTAATATTGTTTCAGCATTCTGAGCTTAAACGGCAGGAAAAACCCCAACACGGAAACATTTGCCTGTACCTCAGAACACAGGCTGGGAAAGGCAAATCTGAGTTCACACAGAGGAAACAGTAAAATGTATGCTCAGAGATGAAGAAAAAATAAGTCATAGGAAAAATCCTATGAACATTCAAAGAAAGTTGTAGAAGACAAGAAAGAAGCATCACAATGAAGAGGACACAAAAGAAAGCTTCTTGAAGGACTAAAAAAAACATAGAAAGAAACCCCTCAGGAAGTTAAGTTCAAAGAAGAAAACGTTGACAGCAGTAAAGGTTTGCTGACAGATCAAACATATCAGATACAGATGTTCTTGTCTGAGACCTAGTTCAAGTCTTCACAGTTTCTGACCAGAGCACCCTCAACTGTGTGCAATGGACAGTGGTTGTGGGTGGAAATGCAAGAAACCTCTGCATTTGGAACAACAACAAAAAAACCAAAGAACTGAAAAATACAAGAAGAAAACCAAAACATTATTTTCTGCAAGTGTTATGCAATAACATATAAACTAAACAAATATTTATTATGTTCCACAGCTGTCATTGTAAAATGAATTCAAAACTTAACTTACTCTTCCAGTAATGGAAAGTAAACCAAGAACTCAGGGACATCAACCACTTCTTCCAAGTGGAAATCATACTTGCAGCCAAATAAAGGATAGTCTCCTTTCTTTTCAAATTTTACATTGTACACATCATTCCCAAATGAATTTGTTTCTGAAGCTTCAAGTCTCTTTCTATAAAATGAGATATAAACAAACATTAATTGACCAGTATTTAGCAGGTAGAGAAAACTACACATAAGAGGCCTGAAAGTGTTTCTCACAGTACTGGAATATTCAATGATCTCTCTAGTTTCCCACCTTCCTTATCTAACAAGGAAATGAAACAATGAAAGGAAGCCACATGCTAGGTTTGAACAGTTCATCATTCCTATACAACACAACAAGGACTTGATGGACCTAGAAGATTAATCTTTAGCCCAGGTAATCTACATGGACAAGACAGGTTTCTTGGAACAACCACAAAACCCTGACAGTTTTTCCCTGGGCTGTAGCCATTTTGCCACTATTTAAGTCATTAAAGAGGGCTGAAGTGTATGAAGAGCTATTCTCTATACCAGAAGAGCTTGGGTGCAAGAGACAAGGATTAGTATTGATTTACCTGTTTGAGTCAGCTTCGTGAGTGAGATTTTTTCGACTAGAATCCAAAATTGTTGCAAAAAAACTCACTTTTGTTGCTCAAATGTATTAGAGCACTGCAAGAACAATTAGCACTTAACAAGGCTTCACAGACTTTTGAAAGACTAATAGAATATAAAAGTACTTACACAAGTTCAAAGCTATTTGGAGTTGTGCCAATGAAATAACCTCCAGGAGAGAGGTTCCCACAAGCATTTTTAAGCATCATGTCAGCCTGCTCATATGTCTCAAATGAGTAATGGTAAACAAATTGACAGCTGCAAATGTCAAAGCGCATACCTGGATCATTATATTTGGAAGACAAGAGATCCTGAAATAGATTTAAAAGAAACAAAAGCTACAGAAACAAGTATGATTCACTTAAATCTTCCAACAAATACACTATGCCCATAATCCTTTTAAATTTTTCCTTTCAGCACTCATTCCTTCACAAGTTAACATGGACAAGATGAAAAAGGTAAGAGTAAGAAAAAGTTCTCTGCTACACAGAAAACCATACACAAGATTTAGGAACACCAAGAATACACACAATTTCAAAGTTATCATGTCCTCAAATTATTTTCATGTTGTCAAGTAACACTACTGCACCTGAAAGGCCAAAACCCAAGTCAGTTATCTAGTAGTTTCCACAGGTTCTTTACTGTTGAGCGTTTATAACTGGCCACCGTTTAACTGGAAAAAACTACTGTAATAAAATGAATTTTCAGTTTACTAAGTCTCAGAGAATGAGAATTGACCCATTAACCATATATTTGAGAGGAGAAGGAGTTGTTTTAAATATGGTGGTTTGCTCTGACCACCAAGTTGTATTTGTCTGTATTCTCACATACATACATGCGTACTAACACGCTCCTACCCACTCCAGACCAAGTAACTAAAATCTGAAGAACCTGAAGCCCTTGGAATTTGTCAGGTTAACGCCTGCCAAAGTTTGGCCCTGTACTCAGCAGTCTTCTTCATCAGACTTCTTTTATACAATACTAGTAGCAACACCATAAACAACAAAGGAGCATACAAGTTCTCCCAAGACACAAGAAATGCATTCTGTATTTAAAATATTTCATACTTAACAGTTCTACCCAAGTTCCTCTTCTCTCACACACTTTCCGTCCACCCATTCACTCACTCCCAAACTTCAGTAGTTCATGCCACAGTCAACATTCCTCACATGGCAAGATAAAAACAGACACTTCACATACCAATAGTAATTTTATCTGTTCATTTAATCCTCCTCCACATTTTAAGAAAGATTCAAGGAAGTGAAAAATAGAGGTGGGCAGAATTAGAGAGCTCAAAGAATGAGATTTTGCAGGATATACAACATTCATGATAGAGATACAAAGCCAGGGAAATGAACTTTTGTGTGCAAGGATAGACTCTCTCCCCGAACTGTAACTTTGAGCCAAGAGAAATTACATGAACCTGCAACAGACTATTTCTCAGAAGAAGGAAAGACAACCAAGAATTCAGCAAACAACCCTTTCTGCAAGGTTGAGAACAGGTTCAGCTTTTCCACAGATATGCTGGAACCAGGTAGGTTCTGCACCTCAGCCTACAATCAGCAGGGTACTCTCAGCATTTCTAGGAAGCAAAAGCAGTTCTGGCTACAAGACCGCCTCCTAAGCCTCAGAAATGCATTCACCATTGCCTCCTGACAGTCTAAGAAACCTGTTCTATCAGACAAGTTTTGAAGATACAAGTAACTAAAATGCAGCCAGAAAAATAAAATGGGATAAGCAAAATGTACAAGTCAAATCAGAAAAGGTCCTTTATTTATTCCATTATTTAAAAAACCATTCACCAAGGTAGTTTCCAACATCCCATGCTGCCTCACAGAAATTCCAGAGGTGAGAAGTTGTTGTGTTCCCCTTGTCAAGTAAAAGAGACTGAAATCACCAGATTGATTATCTGAAAAAGACATTCAGGCTTCAAGAATATTACACTGTACAACAGCAGTAAAACGCATCTAACCACATCTTAAGCAACTTTCCAGTAACTCATATGGCTGATTCTCCTGGTAGTACAATAATCTGATCTTAAACAAATAGATGCCCAAAATATTATAGCACTACCATCAACTTCCTATACTTACTTAACAAAAGAACGTTAAATCTCCAAAATATTACAAAGCATAGAAACTGTACCTTGGTACTATCTGCTTGTATGAATTCTGCATCAAAAATGTGTTCATTATATCGACACCGGGCTTTCATTTCTTCATATCGGTGCTTGCACTGCTGCACAGAAATGTCAGCAATATCTATGTATGAAAAGATAATTAAAAAAAAAAAAAGAGGTGTATAAACTGCTCTCCAGACAAGAAAACTGGAATGATTATTGGAACACGGAAGGTACAATATGGCAGGGATAAAAAACTGATCTACAGTTTTGTTAGAACAGTTCAGGTCTCAGGGATTCTCATTCTTACTGTTCTTACAAATATAAAAGATATTGAAATGCAATTATTTTTGATATGTTACATCATGAGAAATTTTTTTAAATTCTAAAACTGTTCCTTTCTCAGGCAGCGAGCTTCTGACAATATGCAATGAATTTACATAAGAATTTGTTAAGTAAATGAATTAACTGTATTTGAATACTGCCCATTGAAAAATGCAAGAAAGTACTGCAAAATGTAGAATACCCAGAATAATTCCCACTTATGGGAATTTTACGGATTTTTAGTATCTAATTAAATATGAAGTTAAGTAATACTTCCTCTGATTATCCTTGGGATACTTTTTGGGAAAAAGGAAGATGGTATCTTCCTGTAAATATCTAAGCAAATTATTCAAACGAGATTTTTTTATTTAGCTTTCAGCTCTTTCCCCTTTCTTAGTCTGAAAATTTTAACACCCAAGACCACTTTTTGTCACAATATTGTGGGGTTTATTTGTTTTTTAAATTCTGTGTGTGTTTTCAGAACAGTTAAAAATACTACAAGAGATCAGATGTGGGAGATAAGACATAAAATACAAAATGTCAATGTTTTCCTGAGTGCCACATTTTGCCTAAGACAATCTATGGCAGTTCTGTGTTTCTTTAATGATACTAACTTGTATTTAGGAGTTGAACTGAAAGCTAAATACACAGAAAACCAATGATTCTTGTATTTCTGCTGGCAATGTCTTCAGGTTAAAAGACAAAATAAGATTTTTTGACAAAAGATGTTCATTGCATTCTTGGGCATAGTGGAAAAAAAAATAAAATACTGGAGATGTACTTTGTCTTCCCATAGATCAGTGATGTACTTTCACTAGAAAGTTATGTCTTCTTACCAGTACAGACGAGTTTTTTAATTCTGCCTTTTTTCCATTTCAGTAAGTCTCCACCTTTGCCACATCCTAGATCCAGAACAGTTATATCATTCTTTTTCTGTCGTACCCGGTCTATAAATTCACCTAGAAAAATAAAAAGAGGAAACATATATACACATCTCTGTACTTCACTTGTATTGCACATAGAAGCCTAAAGGACCAAAAGGGTTTGAGAATTTTAAAACACCTCAGACCTTACTTTGCCTATAAGTCTTCTTAATATTTAAGTCTAGACTTAAATGTCTAGAATGATGAAAGGAACCACAAACTTTTAAAACTATGGAGAAGATAATGAATTTTTTCTGTGCTTAATGTACTCTGTGTGTAACATGACTGAAGCTATGAACTGTTTCCCTGGCTGAGGCAAAACTGCACATGGCTAAACAACCACCCTGTGAATGTGTAGGGAAACAGGGTTCCCTTTCATTACAATTATAATGAAGGCAGCTGTTATTTGAAAGTATGGGAAAACCTTTTGCAGAAGAGTAAAAGCCAATTAAACGCATCAGCCACAACAACATCTCTTCCTGGTCACTCTACAAAAAACGAATAATGTTTTCCACTCACTTTCCCAGGCCTTGCAATAACATTACCTATTTGTTCACTGCCTTTTTACCCTACATACACTAGTTTCATTTTCTCTTCTATCTCCACTCTGTCTAGATTCCCTCTGCTCTGACTGATGTTGGCATATTATGTAAAACATATCAGCATGCTAGCAACTTTTCTTCACAGTAAGAGACATGAAATATGTTTTGATACAACTGCTATAAAGCCACACTGCTGAAATTCCCTATGACAGAAAGGCTTCAACACAGGCTTCAGGAACAGCTTTATATAAATCTAAATATTGCTTCTAACTGCTCTGATACAACACAACAAAAAGCAGCATGCTGAGACAAATGGTGCCAACATCTCCTGGCACAGATCCCTCTTCATGAACCTGTGTTGTTGTGCCGATAAGTCTTTCCTTTGTTGGCAGATATCTGATGGTTTTGTTTTCTCACTTAGGAATTAATCTGCGGGACAGCGGATTTTGCCTTCTAATAAAAACCTGCTGATTCTTAAAGAATTACATCCTCTAGTTTTTTATCTCTTAAATCACTGACTATGGGTGACAAAGAAAATATTTATGTGTTTAAGTTTCCTGCAGAACTGTTTAACCAAGACCAGAGCCCAGACTGCTTTGGGAAAATGGCTAATGAATTATTTGAGGTAGACTTAAATAATAAGAACAGCTCAATCTAAGAACAGATCGTTTCTCTATGATGTAAAGCTGTACTCTTCTCTGCAAAAATGTCACGAAGAACAGTTTCCAGTATGAACTTTTTCTGCTTTTTAAGTCAGTTGATCTTTAAAACTTTACCATACGTTTGGCACTCCAACAATATAAAACACTATCACAGAGATTCAAATTAAATATAAACACTTCACGGCAGCAGAAAAACTTACTACGTATTATGAGACTGTCAATCGAGTAGGGAAACAAAAAAGTTACATTTTGATACAAAAAATGGTTACATTTTACTCAATCGCTTTGATTGATCCAAGCGATGACTCAAAGCAGCTTACCAATGAGGACACTCTTCGTCCAATTATTAAAGTTTCGGAGGTAGAATATGCGAGACTGGCTACGTTTTTCCAATCCAACTTCTTGAAGTTCATTATAATGTGCAGCTACAGCTTGCCCGTGGCCTATCTCAGACTGCAGAAATGACAGGAAGGAAGAGACTCAAGCAGTGAATTTTCTTTATTACTTTTTCATTTAATCAAAAGACACACATGTTCAGTTCAAGAATTTAAGAAAGCAAACAAGCAATACTATGAAGAGCACCATCATTATAAAGAGATTTCCCATATGTGTCCTGATGCTCATGTCCTTTAAAAATTTAATCCCTTTTTCAGTTCATTCAAGTAATTTCTAAGGGATGACACCCAGCATCTTTCCCTCAGAGAAATACTTTCAGTTCTCTAATACTCTCACCGCTCTCAAAGAATCAGTTTCACTTCCCTTAAGCCTGGGACTGAAGAAAAGGATGTTCCTTCTCCAGGAACTTGAAGACTCTTCAAAGAGCTTGTTTCAGAAATTCAGTGTTTTCACTGACAGAAGTGTATAAACTGCCAATTTAATCAAAATGCCAACTAGCCAATGCTGCATAAAGCCCCAGGTGGATGGACCCCACTGCCAGAGCTTTAAGCAGACCATGTTAAGGGAATGAGGAGTCACTTAACAATATATTCTATCTCATGCTTTACAATTAGCTACAGAAATGTCTCTGATTTAGCCTTAACTTTAAATACTCCAAGAGATTTCTGTCCCATGTTACAAAGAGAAGCAATCTACACCCAGATATTATGCTCCCAACATTTCTTCACCTTGAAAATAATCTTCAACTATATACATGAAATGAAAATAAATTATAAATAAAGTAACAGAACACAGAGAACCAACACAAATTCTGTGAGGCACAAAAGCATTTGAAATAACAGTACAAATCAGAATGAAGGATTCTCAGTTAAAACATAAAAACATGCTACAAAGCCCAGACAGTATGAATCCATACAACCATCAAAAGCATTCCCCAGAGCTGACTACAAAAGCAAATTTCCCAGGATCTTACTATTCAAATAGCTGTTCTTCAAGGAAAAAGAAGGTTTGACTGACTTTAAGATAACAAGTGAATTCTTCAGTGTTTCATATACATATTTGCTAATCTTCAGAACGAATACAGATGTAGTTGTCTGGAATCTCCATGACCCCATCATCTGTTTATTACCAAACCAGGCTGACTGATACTAACAAATATTTTGACCACTTCTATTCTTTTTTAGGGTAAGCACAGATGGCTCTCTGAATGGCAACTGAGGGTGACATAAGCTAGAACGGCTTAGACAAGTGTGGGGGACATACTCATACAAACCATTAACATCTCAGCTGCAAAGAGCCATCAGCAATAACACCTAGATGCTGGCAGATATGTTCAATCACTTCTCTCCACCCTTAAGCTACACAAAAACAATGTATTTCTTGTTCATCTAAACCTTATCCCACATTGTTAAAAAGATGAAAGGGTTCATAATGTTTCTACCACAGCGAAGGGCACCCTTTATTTTACCAGACTGCTTAGCCATAAATTACCATCCTGGGAAAATTCTGGACAGAGAAACAAAACGTTAGGTCAAAGACATTTTTAAACTACACTTAAACATCCCAAAAGGTCAAAATTAGACTGGATATTAAAGCATCAGTTTCTACAAGCTCATACATAATAAACGACAGCATCATATAAAACATTACTGTTTTCACCCTCCCAATTAAAAGGGCATATATTTTCTGCTACTTTTGTAGTCTTAAAAATCTTAAATCTTTCAGTACTTCACTTTGTAAACAAATTAGACTTAAGTTTTATCACAGAGGATGCAGTTTGCAGAGTTTTGTAAACTATACAATACCTTACCGATGAAATGAAAGGACAAAATTATCTTATGGAAGAACCTCCCAAGCACAGGTTAACTGCTCTAACACACAGCATGACAACATACACGACATCTGAGTTCAAGATACAGGACTTGGACTAATGCCAGTAAACCCTACACTACCAGACTGCTACCACACAAATGATGGAAGGACAGTCTTAGAATTAGACTAAGCATGTACTGAGATTAACATTCTGATTACCAGCCCTCTTTCTCTTCTGTGAAGACAACATAATTTGTGCACCTGTTATTTTGCTAGGAAGCTACCCACATACTTTGATATTTGGTGTTTCATGCTGGTTCACATATGCTTAGCATAAATATTTTCAATCTTTTCTTGAGCTAAGGCTTTGAAAAAAGGATTTGAAAACAACTCAAAATAAATGATACTCACTATTTTCTTCGGAGGTTCATCTACAGAATCTAAATTCTTCCTCTTTGCTCTACCATCGTGATCACCATGACCAACTTCTTTCTCATTTGCAATGGGCTGCACTGTACCTGAGGTGGAACTGTCACCTTCACCCCCACACCCAAGACCCAAATCTGACTCTGAAGTACCAGGTGTTTTTACCACTTCTTCAACCGAACTCTTCTCTACTTCCTGTTCTTCTGTCTTGGTTACATCAGCCATTTTTGGCTGGTTAGTCTCCTTGTCCACTGATCAGAATGGAAATCTATAGAAGGGAAAGAAACAAAACACCAAAGATTTTCAGTGTTGAATTTCACTTACTGGTGGTTACAGTCGTGACTTTCAAACATAACACTGGCATCATAAAAGCATAACATGCTTTTGCCCTACACAACATATAGACTTCAAATTTGACTAGTTATTTCATAAAGAAAGCACAGTTAAATACTCAGAATTTCAAAGTACTCTTATAATAAGATCAAATTAAGATAAATCTTTACTCTTTATGTTTGAGTCTTTCCTAAGTATCTTTCCTAAGTATATGATTCAACTGCAATGTGTTATTGGTTTTGAGACTGTAAACTCCCTCTTTCCCTCCCTGTAAAAGGTAACCTACAAATCACTTTTTTTTTTTAGAAACACGAGTTCTTTCATATTAGTAAATTCATTATTTAACCTGATATGCTTTAAAATGGAGGTCCTCAAGATGTTTTTTTACTAGCAAGTTTTTATATCAATTGTGGATTTTCCAGTTTGTCAAGAATACCCACTATGCTCCAAGCCAACCTGGAATATTCAGTTGCAACTGCATTCCCGCATCCCTATTTCACAAATACCCACACAGCCCATAGGGCTGCAAACCACTGCCACAAAGCTCGTTTGGTCTGTGGCACATCCTAGCCTTCTTTACACTTGTTCTTCTTTCACCAGTTCTTCTTTACACCGTCATCAGGACACGGGGCATCTACTCTGTAGTAAGACACAGGAGGGGGCAATTTGGCAACTCCTTAACAAAAATTTGGCAAATCCATAACAAAAACCACGCACAGTCCACCGTATCCAGGCTCGCCTCTTACTGCCAGAACACATCCATTAAGGGGGCCACTACACAGAGACACCAGAGCAGCTCTCCTCAAAACAGATGGCCTCAGAGTGCAACTTGTAGAAACAATCTCTCCACTACGCCGCAGCACCTGACTCAGCCTCCAAAGCAGCAGCAGCACACCCTTCCTTATGCTCGCGCGGCTATTCCAAGCAGACGGTTTGATGGGCTAAATTGTGAAACGATCCGGCTTTCTCAACCAAGCGCCCAGGGGGAGCAGAAGCTCCTTCGCGGGAACAGCC